AATTGATTTAGCAAAAAATCAATTGATCATCATCATCACGAACGAACCAACGAACATTTTGAATGTCAAAAAAAATATAGAAATTTTTGTTTTTCGGTTGGCTATCATCATCATATTGTCATTTCGGCGATAAACTAACTGATTGATTAACTTGATTGATTGACTGATTGACTTGACTTGATGATAATATTTGCCCAAAAACAAAACAAAAAACAAACAAATTTGTCCACAAGCACAGTTAACCACCGTTAACAATGATGATGATTGGCGCACCTCTTCCGGCTCTCTTTGAATGAAAGAGATAGAAGAAACCAAATGAAAGAAGAGAAAAACCAATGGTGGATTCCACAATAACACATCACATGTTTTGAATGTATTTTTTCTGTTTTGATTTATACAAATTTTTGTTTTGTTTTGTTTTGTTTCCATCATCATCATTATTCACAATTGTTGTTTGTTTGTTTGAATTTCTTTCATTTCATTTCATTTTTTCACGCAACTAATAATTCAAAAACGAAACAAAACAAAACGAACGAACGAACGAAACGAAACAATCCATTTGCATATTTGGCCAATATTTTTTTCAAATTTTTTTTTTGCATTGTTTGTTTGGTTGTTTGTCTGTTTGATTTTGGTTTTTTATAACCATAAAGATAGCAATCATCATCAACATCAACAACATTAAACATCGATGATCATCATCGATAATCATCAGAAGAAGAAAAAGAAATGTCATATAGTAGTTGTTGTTGTTGTTGGGTTGTTATATTCAAAAGAGATATTATTATTATTCACGAAAAAAAAAATTGACAACAATAACAAACGAGCGTTTACATAGATAATAATAATGTGGAATAAGAGATTTACTCTCTCTCTCTTTGGTGATGTGGATGGATAATGGCAAATTTTTAATGTGAATTTTTTTCTGTTGTTGTCTATCAAATTTCATTTCAAATGAAAGAAAAACTAAAAATTTCTTCCTTTATCCGAATGGAATTTAAGCCAAAAAATCTTTCAAATCTTATTTGGTGATTTCTACATTATCTAGATTAATTTCACCAAGAAACAACAACCTAACAACATTCGTTTCTGGAAACATTAATCAATCGATCGATCGGTCGATCGAATCGAATCGAATGTTTGATTGAAAAAGGAAAGGAAAAAAGTTTTTGGTTCACACACACGACCACTATGATGATGGCCACAATTTCCCGTTTTGGATTTTCTCTCACTCTCACTCACTCTCTATTTATAAATGTTATGTCAATCAAAAAAACGAAAAAACGAAAGTTGTCATCAATTTGCATCCTGCTTACTTTCTCTCTCTCTCTCTCTCTCCCCACTCTATCAAATTATTGATGATGATATTTCAATATTTTTTTTTGTCCCATCATCATCATCATTTGGTTATATTTAGGGAAACAAACAAATGGAGAAAAAGGAAATAATGTTTTTCCCCATTTGCTGCTTGTTGTTGTTGTTATGTTCATTTGATGATTTATTCAACAAAAATAATAATAATAATAATTTCTGCTTGCCTGTTAATCTAAACAACAACAACAACAACAACAACAACAACAATAGAATCACGAAATGAACAAACGAAAAACAAAAAAGAAATTTGAATTTTTTTTTGATTTGGGTAATTGAAACCAAACACACAATGATGATTATATGTTTTTCACCTGTTTTGTTTTTCGTTTTTCTATTTTTTTTCATTTGTTTCGGTCATGTTTAATCAATCAATCATTGTTTTCAATGTCAATTTTTCGCTGTTGTTGATGCTTGTTGTTGTCACACGGTATCTAGGATTTGTTGTTGTTGTTTTTGATTCGAAATTATTATTCAAAAAAAACAACAGAAAAACAAAAAAGTCATCAAATGATGACGAATCAGAAAGTTTTCGATAGATTTTTGTATGTTTGTGTGGAAATAGAAATAGAAAAATTCACAGCAAAAATAAACTTACCCCTTTTTTTGATTGATCTTTTTTGGATCAATTGATTTTGATTGAATGGTTGAATGAATGAAATTTTTGAAATTTTTAAATAAAAACACACGACACTTTAAGTGATTCGTGCCATTCACATTAAAAACAAAAAACAAAACAAAACACCGAGAAACACACACAGTTGTGAAACAAACAAAATCAAGAAACGAAAGAAAAACCACAAAATGAAAATTTGATCCAATTTTTACAATATATTTCAGGTGTGTTTTCACAGCAAAAAAAAAATAACGTTTTTTTCAAACGCAAATCGAATTGAATGTTTGAAATGATCGAAAACTGAATTAAGCCAAAATCAAATCAAACAAACCAAATCAAACCAAAAAACTAAAATAACCAAACCAACTATATATTTTTCATTAGTAGACGTTGATGATTAGATTGATGAAGCCAAACCAGCAAAAAGCAACTAGTGGTTGTCGTTTGTTTGATGATTACGATGATGATCATGCAACGATCAATCGATTGAAATGATGTTGATGATTATTCAACGTTTTTTCTATTTCTCTCAACGCAAAAAATTTCAGTTTTTGAACAGAGAGAGAAAGTTTTCCGTTTCAATACAAATAAAATTTCTCACTATTAACTTTTCACTTTTGATTTCCTCCCATTCTCGCTCTCTTGTGCACTTTATCATTTTATCATCCATTTTGATTTCATCACTTTTCCATCAATATTACTTGCCACTACCACTGTGGTTGTCGTTTGTTTTTTGATGATGATAATAACAACTGTTGATTGATGAATGAATGAATGGATCAAAAAGCAAAAGCAAAAGAAAAGAAAAAAACTTGCGCTACATGTATATCATTTTACCGTGTTGCGCATGTCATAAATTATTGCCGGTTTTTTTTTACAAATATCATCAGCATTAAAACAAACCACCACCACCACCACCGTTGAGGTAAAAGAAAAAAAATCAACGAATCGAAACCGGCGGCGGCGTTTATCCCAGCCACAAAACAACGCATGTTTTATTTGAGGTTTGGTTTTTGGAAAATTGAGAAAATTGAAAATCGAAACTTTTTTTTTGATTGCATCCTCAAATATTGAACAAACGAAGGAACGAAATGAACGAAATAGTTGCCACGCAACAGGTTAAAATAAAATTCGTTTTTCCATTTCGGTTGTTGTTGTTCCACAATTCAAAACCCGAAAAAATCAGTCAAAAAAAGAAACTTGGTTGCCCAAAAATGCCCAAAATGGAATGTTTTCTTCCGATTTTTCGGAAGGAAAAATCTATTTGAGAAGGCGAAAAATGATTTTCAGAAAGAGAGAGAGAGGATAATGGTCGACCAAGCAACCATCATCATCATTCAACCAACAATGATGATGATTGATTGATGCAACATTGTTGTTGTTGTTGTTGATTATGATGATGATGATTGCTGTGTTTATTGCTGTCATTTGGATGTCAAATAATAATAAAATATGTCGATGTGATTGGTGTGTGTGTGTGTTGTAGTTATGATACCAGAAACTAAAAAAAAATCGGATAACAAAACAAAACAAAACCGAACAAACAGCGCAATATATGCAACATGCAATGTGTCCGCTCTTTCTTTTGAAAATGATCAATAAAAAATATGAATCATTCGATGATGATGCATATATCCGGTTATTATCCTAATTTTGTTTTTGTTTTCGTTTTCTTCTTCAATGGGAGTTTCATCGAGAAAAATCTCTTTCTTTCTCTGTTCAATGATAAAATATTGATCATAATGATGATGATGAATCAAATCAACGGATGGATTATCATGCTTGGAAACTGGTTTCTCTCTTTTTTTTGGGATTTTTTTTTCGTTTTCTGGATCGATGTCTAATCGATTGATCGATTGATCGAATTGAAAATTACTGATATATTTTAAGGATTTTTCGTTTTCATTTCGTTTTTTCTTCAAACATAAATAAATGTTAAATGTCAAAAATGATTTTTGTTTGTTTGGCTTCCATTCGTTCATCGTTGATCATTGAATGAATGAATGGAAGCCAAAATATCTTTAAACTTTGACAAAAAAAATCAATTTGGAAATGTTTGTTTATTGAACTTGACAATTAAAACAATGATGATGATCATGATGAAGAAGATGTTTTAGGAAGCCTGTTTGTTTGCCTTATTTAAACCAAGACGATTATTATTTGAGGAAAATTTTGTTAAATTTTTTTTGTTTGATCTCAACGTTATCCCAGTTTTTTGTAGTGATAATTTTTTTCACTTTATTTTTCGTTTAATAAAAAATTTTCTATTTTGCCTTGTTTCAATTATATTCACATTCATTTTTCATGTCATTTTTGTTTTGTTGTTTTCGTAAACCAAAACAATTACCGTATAAACCGAANAAAAATCGGATAACAAAACAAAACAAAACCGAACAAACAGCGCAATATATGGCAACATGCAATGTGCCCGCTCTTTTTTTGAAAATGATCAATAAAAAATATGAATCATTCGATGATGATGCATATATCCGGTTATTATCCTAATTTTTTGTTTTCGTTTTCTTCAATATGATGGGCGTTTCATCGAGAAAAATCTCTCTTCAATGATAAATGGATGGATGGATGGATTATCATGCTTGGAAACGGGTTTCTCTCTTTTTTTTTTTTGGGATTTTTTCTAGATCGATGTCTAATCAATCAATCGATTGATCGAATTGAAACCGAACTGATATATTTTAAGGATTTTTTTTTTCGTTTTCGTTTTTCTTCAAACATAAATAAATGTTAAATGTCAAAAATGATTTCATTCATTCAATGATGAATGAGTGAATGGATGGAAAACAAAATATATCTTTAAACTTTGACAAAAAAAAAATTCAATTTAGAAAAAGGATGATTATTGAACTTGACAATTTTAAATCATAAAAACAATGATGAAGATGATGTTTAGGAAGCCTGTTTGTTTGCCTCGAACATTATTTAAACCAAGACAATTATTATTTGAGAAAATTTTTGTTTGTTCTCAACGTTATCCCAGTTTTTTTTTTTGTTTTTGTAGTGATAATTTTTTTCACTTTATTTTTCGTTTAATAAAAAATTTTCTATTTTGCCTTGTTTCAATTATATATTTACATTCATTTTCTATGTCATTTTTGTTTTGTTGTTTTCGTAAACCAAAACAATTACCGTATAAACCGAAAGTTGAAAAAAAATTTAGACCAGTAACGATATCCATACTACCGAAAAAGAATCGAAAACGTACAAAAAAATTAAAACAAATGATGTTTTATAATGATTATATAATTCGAAGAATAACTGATAATAATAATAACGACAATCAACCGCAATCGCAATCATTATCGTTGGAATCGAATATTGATGATGAAGATGCGGATGATGAAAAAATCGAAGAAAATTTATCATCAATATCGATTAATCAACAACAAGAAGAAGAAGAAGAAACGATTGCTGATGTCAATGATGATGATATAACGGAAGATATTGAACAATCGATACAATCGATACAATCAACATTATTATTAACATCGTTGCCAACAATATATGAACATCCAATGGAAGATGATTATTATGATGATGATATTGAAAATAATAATAATAGTCCATTTCAAATGGAACCAATTCGTTTACATTTTACTGATGAAAGTAGTAGTAGTCAAACAAGCAGTAGTTATAATAGTAACAATGGTGGTGTTTGTTGTATTGATAATAATAATATTTTCAAACAACAAATCAATAAATCATCATCCATATGTAATCTTGATCATCTATTTGGTTCGGAAACTATATCATTTCAATTGAATAATTCTGGTAAAAAATCAACGATTATTAATCGACCAAGTCGTCTTGTTATACGTCGTAATGATGATGGTTCATTAATTGATGAAATTGTTGATGCTGATGTTGATGATAAATCATTTGTTGATCGTGGTAGTATTGCTGATTCTGGTAAACCAACTGGTAGTGGACATGAATCATCACCATTTCAAATGAAATTAGAACGTGGTCGTGGCAGTCGTCATCGTTATCAAATTGATCGTTGTGAAGAATTTGGTTCGAATGAATGGAAAACAACATTGGAACAAATTTTTCGTTCACCAAAAAAAGGTTTGCAATTTTTTTTTCTTCAAAATTTTTTTCGTTTTTTAAATTAATTTGAATGAATTTAGCTGAACCGAAACCAGAACTGGATGATTGGAATTTGAACAAATTATTTCAAGAACCTGTCCGAAAATTGAAACAAAAACAATCGATTCAATCATTGCAACAGCAGAAAAATAGCCATTTAGCAAAATCTAAACGTCGTTTTCGTCGACAACAAAAACAAATTGATTTTGATATTTTTACTTATGATGATGATTGGTCATTGAAAAAATTATTTAAATTATCACCATTGGCAAATGAACGAACTGAACGACCATCGAATAACAAACAACCGAAAAAACAATCAAAAGAACGGTTATCCGATGATGATAATATATCCATTGATTCTACTTGTTTGGATTCTGGTATCGGTTCATTTGAAAGTCATGTTAGTCAGGTTGATGATAATAATAATGATAATAGTAATGGTAATCATAATGATAATGATGATAATCATGAAAAATTTTCAATTGCAAAAGAATTTTGGAAACAATTCTGTAATGATCGTATGAAAAAATTTGATTATTTGCATATGGGCAGTCCATCAAAGCAATTTGCTACAAATTCTTCAACAAAAAGTCCAAAAATTGAATCATTCAAGAGTCAGAAAAAAATCGCTACAAACTCATCACCACCAAGTCCAACAATTAAAGCATTTAAAAGTCTTCCTGAACCACTTATTCATCATGAAAATAATAAACAAACCGAACGATTAGGAAAATTAAATCAAATCAAAAATATTTGTCATCATAATATTGATGATCGTTATGAATTATTAATGAATTTGAAACGTGCAAAAATTGGTCATTGTTATGAATATTTAAATGAATTTGAATTGAAAATGAGAAAATATTTCCCCGAATTAGAACAACAAGAAGATCTTGGTCAATTATTAACATTATTAATGTATGGTATACCAACTGAATTATATTGGTTAAATTATTGGTTACGTTCAAATTATGGTTGTACATATAATACAAATACAATTAGCCGTCATTCAATTGATTTTGATCAATTAAAAGCAATTATTTTGAATGAAGAACAAGCTTATCTTTGTCAAAACAACAAAGATAATCAAAGTAAAAATAATTATTCAACACCGAATCGTAATCGTAATGGCAATGATGATGATGATCAATCGGATCAAATACGTTCTGTACGATCATGTCCATTACCCGAATCATCGGTAAAAGTAAAGAAAAATATTAATTTTCAATTACAATCAATGCAAATTTCCAAACAAATTCCTTCGCCAATACACAAATCACCACCACAACAAAATCAACAACAACAACTACAACAACGTCGTTGGTCAGTATCGATTGATCGTCATTTAGAATTAATGAAATTATATCGTCAAAATTGATCCGGTGAATTATTATTTTGGTCATTCCTATAAGCATTTTTTGTTTTGTTTTTTGTTAGTTTTTTCTCGTAAAAAACTAAAAAATTTTGTTTTGTATTTTATTTGAATTTTGAAATAAACACTATTGCCATCTTTTGGTGGCAATCGAAATTGTTCAAAACTGCGTCACATTTTTTTTTAAAAATATATTCGAACTGCGCAATATTGTGTTTTGTATATATTGACGAGAGTGAAACAGGTACACATCATCATTAAAAACGATTGTAATCAATGTGTATGTAATGAATGAAAAAAAATCATTTTGATCAACATTTTTGATCTGGGCGGAGTTTATTTTTTGATATTTTTTACTTGAAAATCACGTGATCGGAAATTTTTTTTATTGCTAAAATTGATTTTTTTTCCCGAATTGCCAAATTTATACTAATCAAGTTGTTGAGATTGTTTGTTGAACAGAATTTGTTGCCAGTTTTTTGTTTTTGTTTTTTTTTCTCTTCTGAATATATCGGCGTTTACACAGGAAAAAAATTTTATCAATTTTTTTATAATCATCATTCTTTGTAAATTGTTGGTTTGAATTGACAAGTTTAATTTGTTTCTATGCTTATACAATCAGTCTATCAAAACAAAACAAAAAAAAATTCAATGCAATTACATTGTATAAATTGAGCAATATTGTTTTGTTGTTGAATTGCAAATATTCTTTTTTATCACCACACACACACAGACACACAGACCGCTTAGCAAATTCATTATTTGGATCAGCAGGAAAAATTTTTTTTCTTTTTCTTTTTTTTTTGTTTTGTTTTTGTTTTTCATTTTGTGACGTTGGCTATAGACCACACACATCTGATCTGATCTAAAAAATGTTTCAAAAATTGATTTCGATTTCTTTTTGAATGAAACAAAACAACAATAAAAAAAGCACACACAAACACATCTTATATCGCACATTGAATTTTTAATTTCATTTTTTCTTCTTCATTTCTCCGTTTTCTTAAGTTTTCTTAACAACATTGAAAGTCGTTTTGTCCGCTATTCTTGAAGGTTTATTTTTTTCTTTCTTTCTTCAGTCATCATCATCATCATCCTTTTTTTAATCACAACAACATTCATTTGTTTTACAGTGAAAACGAAAATATTCTTCACCATTGCGTCATTATTTTGTCAGCCAATAAAAAGAATTTCCCCTATCATCATCATCATCATCATCATCGTTAAAGATTCTACAATTCTATGTAAGTTATAACCCCTGTTTTGAATCTTGAAGATTTTTTAAAGTGTGTTTTTTGTGTGCTCGATTCAATCGAATTGGACCATTTCAATTGAAAAGAAAAGACAGAAAGAAAAGTTCCAGAAACACTGTCCTGTTTGTTTGTCTGTTTTGGTTTGTTTTCACTCTATTACCTCAAAAATTGACCGGCTAATTTTCATTTTAAAATATTTAATTTCCGGAAACATTTTTTTTTTCTAACGTGGCTAAATTAGTTGAGGCGTTTCTTTTACGTCAACCAAAAAAAAAAAAAAAAAATTATTGTAATTGTTTGTTTGTAACCGTGTTTAG